GCTATGTATCCGTCTATTCTAAAAAATTATAAAAATTATAAAAATCAATGGTTTCAGATGTCAATCTCCATAATTTGTCCGTGTTGTCATTTTGGTGATTTGGAAACACCGGAACAACTTTGCGATCATGTATCGACTGTGCATAAAACTGCGGCCCCGATTCTTGAACATTTTTTCGATGATGGTGATCAATTACAGGTAAACTATTTTTCTTCCAATTTAACAATTTTTTTGTCCTTTCTTAGGAAAAATAATTTGGTACTAATAACTCCTTGTGAACTTCGCAAGGGCACGTGCATAACAATTTTCCATAACTTTCGCCCCTGCAGTCTGATGCACCGTTCCGGGGTGATTGGTCAGCTTTAAGAGATTACGGTCTGGGCGAGAGTGTGGAATACAATTATGGCACAAATGAATGATGCCTCTATATAAATATTGAGTACTAAATCATACAATGTTAGTGGAACTACGTACAAAACGACATTCTGCCATGAGTTTCCTCCTGATCGTATTCGCTGTCGTATCGGGACCTTATAAGGGTACAATCTGGGCAAAACTTCGGAATTTGACTTTTCAGCCGGAACGAATTATGGCCTGCTACTTAGGCAATAACACACTTGTAGGCTCTTACTGTGTATTCCCAGAGGGTAGAAACGACCAGGCCATTGGTGCCCTCCCATGCGGACTACTGGTCCATTTGCACCTGCTATTGCGTACCGTATAAGGACCAGTAGTCTGCGATATCGCCAAATGCCCAAGTAGCCCAAATATTCGAAGATGCGCTCCTAGCAGTGCATAATTATTTCCTCTCTGTTTATTACCTCTATCTTCCATTTTTAGGCTTGGCTATCCGAAGTGGAAGATTCGCGTACTGAAGGCGGTTATGTCGGTTCAGAAGAAGGTCCGTCCAGCGACGATAAGGTCAGTCCCCATAATCATCCCCCTCCCATTTGGGATAAATATTCTCTTTATTCAGGAATACTATTTGCTATGTCGAAGACGTGCATCTCCATTGCTGAAGCGACGTCGTCTTACCGAATCTGCGCGGTTTAGTGAAACCGAAGGAAACACCGTTTCATGCACGGCTTTCGTACACGTAATGGAAAGAGTTGATGGGTGAGTTCTTTGCAGAAAATCAAGAGCGATACGATCGCAGCCATTTGGCCTTGGAATTTCTAATTTTCTCGCTTTGCAGATCGGTGTACGTGCGATTCTGCT